GAATCGTTATGTTTTTGCTACCTTAGAATGAGACGTTTTTATCTACAGACGCTGCGGGTCGCCTTCCCTGGAGGCCGCCATGTTTCTACAGTAACCCAGAACGGACAAACCAAACACTTCGGAAAGGAGGGTGAAGTGAGTGAGTTGCAATCTGCAACTACACCACTAGATGCCTCTAAATCCTGCACACTGCTCCTTTAAAATGTCTAAAAGAAATGTTGAAACCAGGAGAAATCTGTAAAATTATTCAAGGTGCGTTTCATTTGGTCACCTGTGAATGGCGTCATATCCACCTTACCGCTTCCGGGGAAACGGCAGAGAGTGAGGAAGGAAATCTGCGAACAACACTAAACGTGGCGTTAATAAAACGTTAATGCATTACGTCGTCCGTAAACATGATTTCAGCCGGAGTCACGTGAGACAGTTTCATCAGCTGGTGGTTGTTTAACCGTGGTGACACCAACTCCCATGAGCCAACGCTTCTTCATGAAGTCATCAAACTACAACCCCTTGGTGGGAATTCAATACTGTCTGTTAAAATACCTTTTCAACCTTACATCAGTAATGCCCTGATGTCCTGAACTGTGTGAGCACCGGAAATGCAAAATAATAATGACCCCATATCTTTGCAGCAGCTTGTAACACAAGGCAGGGTGTTGAAATCAATGTGTATCCTGCCATAACGTACGCTACCAAAACGCTGCCAGACTGTAGGGCTGTAAAGATTAGTTGTTCCATAAATTCTTTGTCTGTTAAACGTCCAAAAAAGGTTAAAAAAAGTCTTTAAATAGCTTGTTTTGTCCAACCAATGTCTAAAATACAAATATATTTGGTTTAATATCACTGAAGACAAAGAAAACCTGTACATTTTCACAACTGAGAAGCTGGAACGAGGAACTGTTTGACTTTTCTTCTTAAAACATGATTTAAATAATAAATTGATAATCAAAAATAGTTGCAGATTGATTGTTTCCACTCTACTATGTTTCAACAGTGTATTACACTGTGTTTGTGGTAGAAAATATGACTATTGTGGTATTTCTGTCAGATTGTATCACTATAAAAGTCAGTTATCACACTTCATTATTAGTACTCTGGTGTGTGTGGGTGGTTTCGAATAACCTTTTAGTACTTTAAAGTGTTTATATCCCATTTCACAGCAGGAGTTAGTAAAAACTTACACAGTGACTTTCAAAATAAAAGGCATTATAGAATAACTAGCCTATAGCTGATTATAACGCACAATTCCTTTCATCCACACATGTGCCAAACACATCTGAGAGTGGAAACAAGTGAGTCTGACAGTGGACCATGAGCGCACAATTCTAGACGCAATAGCAGTTGACCAACAATCGAACTTCAGCCAGCTGGACGCTTTCAGACAAAAAAAAAAAACAAAACAAAAAAAGCCCTCCTCCAGTATGGTAGAGGACGGCGCGGTTATGGATGGATGGAGGTTACGCACGGAGAGACGAGAAAAAAGTGAATTAGGCAGGAGTCCATAAAGAGGCAGTGATGGCGGAGAGTGTGCCCGAAAACAGGGAGGAGTAGACGGGGGAGCAGGGGGGGAGAGACGGTCTGACTGTCGGTCTGTCTGGGAGGCCAATTTGCCAAATTAAAGCTCCAAAAATCTGGGCGGCGGACAAAGCTCCGTCTCGCTCCGTCTCGCCTGGGAAATCTCCATTTCTCATCTAATTAAAAAAATACAGCCAAGCACAAAAAAAAATAAAAAAATACAAACACCCTGAACGACCTGGATGCGCCCCCCGTCTCTCCTCTCCGTGTCCTTGGAGCTCCGTTTCCCGTAACGATGGAGAGCCAAAGTGGCCCCCGTCCGCCGCCCCTCGCCTCGGCTCGCTCCCTGTCCATCCGGTGCGCGTCCCGCTCTCCCCGAATAAAAAAGCAACCCCTCTCAATCTGCCGACGAACCGATCCGTGCAGCAGAACTGACGGGGCATGACGGTGCTGTGTGTCCGCACAGCTGGATGGAACAACGCGGAGCCAGAGCGGGGAAGGGAAGGTGCCATGGTGGCAGCCAGCAGTGTGTCCCGCATGGCACGGCGAGCCGAGGAGCCGCACTTCCACATCCAGACTCCTCTTTTCTATTTCACACTGCACAATTCACAACCCATGCATTTTTATTTGTCAGAAAAACAAAGCATTCATTCCTACCAGAAGCGGCCAGCACGCGTCGCGCAGTCTCCAGCCGAGACAACAGGGATCCTTTCAGCGCAAGACAACAATAAAAAGGGGGCGCAGCTGGCAGTGCCACCGGATGTCCAATATTAATTGTTAATAGGGCCGATTTCTGAGCATGTGGATCGGCTTCAGGGTTAAAGGATCCGGCTCCACGCACGTATAAAGTCTGTTCCTGCCCACACTGCCTCGGACTTTTAGCAAATATCAAAGTTGACGCGAGGAATAAATCACAGAACAAGTTTGGCTGCTGTTTGTCCACCTGCAGGTGCTGCCGCCGATTGGTGGTGGTAATGTTACTGTACAGGCCATTTTAAGTTCCATACTCGGTATAAAATGAAGGTTTGTTGTAATGAAAACTGTAAAGTTAAGACAGGAAAAAAAACCCTGCACACACACAATGGGAGCGATTTGATCTTACACATATGCGCAGAAACATGAGCGAATAAAAGCAGAAATAATGAAAAATATAAAGTATAAATGCGTGGTGGGTTGTGAAAAAGGGTCGTAGGACTGTATTAGAGGCTCCAGTTTTAAAATCTAAATATTGTTTTGTTTGTTTGTTTGGATACGGTGCATTCAAAATAACCCAAGTCAAGTGTGTGCCATGCATGCTACTGTATGTAAATCCGTGTGAAAGTAGCCATTTTTCGATCACAGGAGCCCGTTAAAGCACACAGAATGCCCCGAGTGTCTGCGCCGCACCGATCTGTCAATAACTTCGCGGTCCTTAAACTTGATGGAGGCGCATTTGATCCGCCTGTGGACTCACAGCTGCGAGACGGGGCTTCTTTCTTTCTTTCTTTTCTCTTTTTTTTTTACCTTATCTCGTGTCCTCAGATGTCCCCTCGGAGTTAAGGCTCCTCCGGACGGGGGTAAAATGTCGGCCTCGGCCTCTCCAGATGATATTATTACGCACCATCCACGGAGCGGAGAAGAGCCCCGCACGGACACGCAGCGGCGGCCGCTCAGCCCGGACAGATCCCGGTCAACCTACAGCCGCGTGCAGGAAGTTAGTTGACAGCAGCAGCGAGCTGTGGCCTGTATGGCGGATAAACGGGACAGAAAATATGGTTGTAGGACTGTTAGACACCCCTCCTCCTCCTCCTCCTC